AATCCCACTTCCTCCCCGCCCCTGCCCCCAGAAATGCAGACCTGCTTTCTCATTGAGTCACAAGAATTTATAAGCAACTATATTCACTTCTAAAAACCAGGCCAGAAGACCATTCTATTGCTTGAAGGAAAAGGCTGGCTGAGAAAGATTTCAATCCTTAAGGAGTTCTTGATTTTCAAAGAAAAATGAAGGGCTGGCTGGGTTTTAACCCTTGGTAGTTAAAATGACTGTTCCAATAAAAATATACCACTTCCCTAGATTCCATAATCACAATCCTCATCCTACGGGGGTTTTCCCTTCCTGGGTGTGTATTCAGGGGATATAGATAGGTACATTTTAATTCTAACCAAAAAAATCAGGAAGAAAAGCCGTTAAAGTCTAAATTATTTGGGTGACCCCCTCATTAGCAAATTGTGTGTGTGACTTAAAAGACTATTTATTCAGACTCTAGAAAACTAGAGTACAAAATAGGACACTGAATATCAAGTTCCTAATTTCTTAAAAAAGATGAGGGATGGCAAGGGGGAAGGGTTTGACTTGATTTCCATGCCCATCCCAGCTATGTAACATTTTATGATTATGATCTGGTCTTCAGTTTTCCTTTCCTTCCTTACTTCTGCTGACCTTCCTTCTCAATGAAAAGCCAGGTACAAAAGAGGAAAGGAATCCCAAGCTGCTGTCAGTGTAGTTGAGAAGTCTGACTGGGTTAGAGCTTAGGAGGTTACTAAGTTGAGATGTGGGCCTCCTCTGACCACATCAGTGATCCACACAACCCGCCTCATTTCTTGGGGCTCATGCTAAAGCAGCTCTTGAAGAGATCTTATTGTCCTATCATCATTGAAGGAGAAAATTCATTCTCCCTTAGTAAAATTACTGAGAAAATGGAAAATAGTGTTACAATCAAATTCACAAATACTGATGGGGATATCTAAAATGTTCAAGGCAGCCTGCTTAGTGCTGGACCATATCTTGAATGGGACCATCCAAGATCATCACTATGAAAGAAGTGGCCTTTTGTAAGACCATTAACAAAATCTCCAGCCACATATACATTCAAATACATTCCATTGGACATTGAGCTCCACAAGATCAGGGACTGTCTTTTCCATCTTTGTATCTCCACGACCCAGCACAAGGTTGGCACAAGTTTGAAGCTCAGGAAACGTCTGTCATATGGAACAGAAAGGACGAACAGCACAGCCTTCGGTCATCAGCTTCACCAGTCAAGCACAGTGGCAGCTTCCCATTTTAGTCAGTTTGTAATCAAACAGCAATTAAGTAGCTTTAATCTCTCAAGGGCATTTTTCTTTTTTGGGAAAATGAACAAAAACACAGAAGGCATTCATCATCAGTGTTCCCTCCAGGCAAAAATTTAAAAAATTAATTTTAAGAAAAGAAATGAAGCCACTTATAAAAGGTTTTCCTGGGAAGCCTCAGCCAAGAATTAACCTTTTAAAAAGAGGCAACTATATGAAGAAGGCCAGGGGCTGGATAAATACTCCCATGATTTGACACCAACCCAACAGGCCCAGATGACTTCTTCCAGGCAGATATAATCAACAGAATCATGATTCCAAAGTGTCTTCTACTCTACAGAAAAGGGCTGAGAGACCCATTCTCAGGGTACCACAATTTTTATATTTTCCATCAGAATGACCTCCATCTTCTAACCTCTCATAACTTTCCCCTCAATGAGAAAAAACAAAGAATGCATATGCATAAGGAACAGAGTTAGAAGAACAAGGGAAATTTGTATGATGAATTGGAATCCAATAATTTGTGAGAAATGTTTTGTAAAATAGTGTACCTCTCATTCTAGCTCAGAAACCCTCCCCTTCATTTTATTTGTTCTTTGTCTTTCTTTTTCTCCAAAGAATTCACGTCGGCAACTCCATTTGTGACCAACTTCACAAGCAACAGGAGAGGGAAATTTTTCAGAAAAAAAAAGTGTTCAGGTTTGAGTTATTAAATTTGGGAAGCATCTTAAAATACAGATAATACCTAAGTAGTTTTTTCCTTCTCCAAAGCCAAGCAGATTAAAGATTAAGCCTCTTCCCTCTTTAGCCTCCACTGCATTGCCTATATTTGAAGGACTACTGCTCAGCTGGAAGTCTGGCAAACAACAACTGTCAATACCACTGTCGCAGGTGTAAGGGGGAAAGTCAGTAAGATGGATCCAGAGTTCAGAATATTTGCTGTTTTAACAAGAAGTAGATTTTCACTCTGCACCTGAAGCTAAAACTTGTTGCTACAGATATGCAACTTCTTCAAATGAAAGTATTACTTTGGGAAAATATTTAAAATATATATCTTTTCTATTAAAAATATTTATCTTTTTTCCAAAAACAAAAATCGGTTACAACTGAAAAGTGTTTTTCAAATTATTGGAGAAAATGGTGGCAAGTGGAAAAATAAGTGTTTTTGCTATAACCAATGAGACTAGCCTCCCAATAATATTTACTAAGATCAAAAAGAAACTCTACGAAATGGCAGTAACTAATGTTTTCTCTAAGGGCATTTGCTAAGTCACCCTCTCTGTCTTCTGCAGACCAGTGCCAACTCTTTCATCTTGGGCACCAATATGCCCTCCAGTAGCCTTTGAAGGATATATGTTGCTGGTAGGACCTAAAACTGAAGTGGTGTGAATATAAAGTCATGAGACTGACGTATGTTTTTTTAAGCATACATCTGCACGTGTGCACAGAGAACACAGAAAACATACATTCAGGTGGGTGACACTCCCCACCAAAGTAGTCACTGAGGAGGTTCCACATATCTCAATGATCACCAAAATGCTTAAGACATCTCTGGAACTTCTCTCTGGGAACTGTTTATAAGCCACACATACGCATACAAAATGGCTCTACTTTATAGCTGCATTAACCCATTCACCTTCTCTTCCAGAGGCTTCAAATAGCTTCTGACTAGTTTCAAACTTAAAATTCTCTCTCCTATAACCCCAAAATAGTAAAGATTTGCCCAGAGAAGGGAGGCAAATCTCCTGAGAAAAGACTATTTAGTAAATTCCTAGTGACCTTGATCAGTAAGTGAGTCACTGTTCCAGATCTTAGCTTCTGCTTTAATAAGAGAAAGAAGTTGGAAGAGATGACCATTAAGGCCCCTTCCAGTTCTGACATTTGAGGAGTCTATGTTTCTAGACTTTGAGGACAGTTCCAGAAATGTTTTCACCAAGGGCAACATCATTGGAAAAAATTATGCAGTATCCTGCTGGGACCATTCAAGGGGGACAACAGACATTGGGATATATAGCTCTGTAAGATTTGTTAAAATGCTAGTCACATGACTTTATAGTAACAGCTCATACATGCACAGAGAATGCCAGCCTATCTGAGATTCCCTAAAAATCGTATCTTAATCCCTATTCTCAATGAGCCCAGATGGGCAGAAGCACCAAGCACCACCAGGGATGCAAAAGACACATGGTGTCAGCTGCTAAGGAAAATAAACCCCAAAGGTCCATGGGACTGAATTTACCAGCTGCATCCAGCTAGATACCTTGTTTCCATAGTATGGAGTTTCAGCACTGTTGTTGCCTGACTCCTGGGCAAAGATTTTTGGATTTTAGATCAACATTGCAGATAACCCTTGGCCATGTGGAGAGTAATGAATGATGACATCTGTCATTTATCTCACAGGGTGGGATCACCAGGAAAACAGAAGACTGTAAACTGCGTGGGCGGCGGGGATAAATGCACAGTGTATGTTTATGCTTCCAGTCAATCTCAATTATCTGCATGTGGATTTTGCACGATGGGTACGCAATGCCTAGCCAGCTTTCCCTATGATCCCCTGGCATGCCTTTGTGTTGTAGTCCATTATGGCGACCTGTTAGTGTGGAAAATCCATGAGATTTGTTGTTGGGAGACCCAGCAGTCAGTCTGGGCTGTGCCACTTAGTAGGTGAGAGAACCTGAATATCTGCACTGCAGTTTCGTCATCTAAAAATGAGGCCAATCCCACTTACATGTTAGGTCTCCTGGGAAGATCAAATTAAACCATAACTAAACATGGTCTGTCAACTACATGGCATTATACATGTTATTCTTTAAACAGGGATGGTGAATTAGCTTTTGTAGAAGCATGAATTCAACAGATTTCATTAGGTATATTTACTTGTGGGGCAAGGGTAAGGAAAGGGGGGACATAATCTTTTTGGATCTGTAGAGAACTATACTGTTCCACTTCTTTGAAAAAGAGGGAACTAATTTTTATCTGCAAGGCTGATTTAAAAAAAAATAAAAAACCTGCTGAAAGAAGTCAGGAGGTCTATCAGTCTGAGAAGGTATCCCCTCTTTCCTCTACCATTTCTAACTCTGGCCATTGTGCTCCTGAATCTCATTCCAAGTGGGTGCTGCCAGATTTGGCCCAGAACAGCCCTTGAGCGTGGGTCACTTAGGGGGTGGGGAGTGCTTCTGGCCTGGGTCACAGGGAGGCAGAGACGCAGTTCCCTTGGATACAGACTACAAAGGTCCTGGAACCTCTCAGAACCACCAGACATAAAAAGAAACCCAAAGTGAGAACATTCAGCTCTACAGGATAAATGATCAAGCCCAAAGACCTCTTAAAAATAGGCAACACTGTTCTATTCGGTGCTACTTGGCCCCGGCCATGCTGCTGGACCGTAAGAGATACTGATCCACGCTTCCTTTCCGCCGACTTACAGTCCGCCTCTCATTGTCAAACATGCGCTGCAACTGCAGAGCCAGCTGTCGGTCCTCTTCCTCTTGCTGCAGTTTCTGCTCCCTCTCTCGAAGTACTGGGTCTGTTGGGGCCGGGCCCATCTCGCCACCGCTTTGTCGCAGTTTCTTAAGAGAGCCGTTTTGTTCCAAGTGCTTGGTCTTACAGTGTCTTTTCCGGCCCCGGCGCAAGGAGGGAAGTGGCTCCTCACCTAGGTTGTCTGCCAGGATACCGTTAGGCAGGTCAAAATGATTCACTGTTTTCAGCTGTTTCTTTGTTTTGAGGACCCCACCCAAAACAGTGTTTTTGGGTAGCACTGAATTAACTGCCGAAATTTTCATAGCTGTGCTTATACAGGTTTTGTCTAACTTGGCATCTGGGCTTGACCCTGACCCTTCAAATTGCTCTCTCTCCAAAGAAGTTCCACTGGCTCCCACTTTGAGTTCTGAAGAACAGCAGGTTTCCAGTGGGATCTCAGTGCTCTTTTTGCTACCACTGCCCTGTCCTGCTTTTGTCTGGCTAACAGAGGGGAAATAATCAAGGTCAGCGGAGGTGGGTCCAGTGTACTCAGAGAGTGCATGCCCACTGGACAGTCTTGTATTTAAAGCCAGAAGTGGCTTCTCCTTGCTAGAATGGATAACTTCAGAGACTAGCAAGTCTTCCCCCGTTTCTGGAGCCAGGGAAGTGAGGGTGGCTTTCGAAAAGGTTTTTTTAATCTGCCGCTCCTGAAAGATCTGTTCCCACTTTTTAAGGATCCGTGGACTGGCCTCATAAGAAGTCTGCTTCTGCAGGCTTCTGTTTAGATTGCGGGGTGTTGATTTGATGATGAGGGGACTCAGCACGCGGCCATCAGGGAGTCTCTTAGGAGGAGTACATGGTGAGCAGACAATGGGCTTGAAATGGTTGAGTTCTTCGGAGATGCTGTCATTGCTCTCAGGGCTGATGGAGCGCTCTGGTTTGTGCAAGGAAGCCAAGGATGACAGGGAGCTGAAGGGCAGACGCTTTTCAATGGTTAAGTCAGGGGCCGAGAGGCAGCGGTTGTTTTGAGTGGACAAGAGGACACCAATGATGGGGTTGGAGGTTGGGGTTATAGTTGTGACCTAAAAGAGATTTAAAAAGATTATATATACATATATATATACACACACATATATGTGTATACATATTTATATATGTGTGTACATATGTGTGTGTGTGTGTGTGTATATGCATATATATACACATATATATTTCTTCATAATTTCTTCATAATGGAAGAGCGATAGGTAAGGAAAAGGTAAGAAAAGGGATAAAGGGTGATGTGAGCCTAGGAAATGTGGAAAATCCCTAACCTAGAATGTATACCATTTGCAGAAATTCCTACACACTTGAAACAATTAATAAAATTTAAAATCTACGGAGGGAAAAAAACCTCATCTAGAACTTTTACCAACCGTCATACCGCCCATCTGGCTACTAATTTAAACTCTCTTCCTTCACATCTATTTGTTAAATTCTCCAACATAACTAGTATGCTTAGCATCCATTCTGCCTTTCTCATCTGGAGTGGCTTCTTTTGTGGCCACAGGCAGGAGGTTATGAGATGGGAGTAGAGAGGCCCAGAAGCCAGTGTCTGATGTATACCTTGGCTTTGCTTGCTGCTCTGAGTCTGCCCTTTGCTCTGTCCTGAGCAGTGTCACTGCAGCTCTGACTCCTTTCCACCTTGGAATTTAGGTTCCTAAAAAAGAATAAATAAAAGACAAATAGTCGAGAGTAGGCCATAATTTGCTTTCAAAGCCACCCACCAAGAAAAACAATTCCCTTGGGCAATTACAACAGAAAACTAGTTATTTTATTAACAAAACGTATTCTAAGAACAAATCCTGTCAAAAGAGAAAGAGATATCCAGAGAAGACATTTGGTTTAAGTCTTTGTTTCCAAACAAGATCTGCTTAATGGACACAAGACCAACAACTGTTTTGCTCATGCTTTGAGAGATGTAGGGATATTTCACCTTCCTTAACAGGGTGGATACAATGCTAAATCACCTTTGCAAACAACAGATTTTCTTCCCCTCCAAATGTCTCCTCAAGCAATCTAATAAGCCCTGAAACAAATACTTAAGTACTTATAAAATGAATAGCAATGCACTAGATTTTTATGTAGGGAGTCAAAATTAAAT